CATATACTCTCTCCTCTCTCTCTCTCTCTCTTTTATTTTTATTTTTATTTTTTTTTATTTTTTTTATTTTTTCTTTAATTTTTTTAGGGAGTGTTAATTGTAGGAATGAAATATAGGACATTATGTTGAGGCACCTGCCCCTTAAACCACTAATGCCCCGACCCGTACCGTATACTTGCTCCTTCAAACAAAAGAGCTACTCGGGAGATTTTTCCGATCTGAAGTTTTGAGATCTGTGTCGAGCTCATCAGAAGAGTATTTTAAAAAATGTATAAAAATTAGTTTTTAAGTCACAAAAGTTCAATGTTTTATATTCACTCTTGAAAGTTACATTTTTCAAGACACATACAAAGTGCGAAGAAGTATTTTATTAGTTGAAGTTAGTCATGCATTCCCAAAATTTGGGGTCCTAAGAGTACTCAAGAAAAAGATCTTACCGGAAGGAGACAAGAGAACGATGGATGACCCATGAGTTTTTTAGTATAAATGATACATTATTTAAATATCGGGAAGATTTAGGTGTGGTACCAATATGCGATAAGATGAACGAGAGTAAACTTTGGTGGGTTGACCATGTGTGGTGCCGACCCCTATTAGGAGGTCAAGTCAAGTGGAAGCTCAAAAAAGACAAAGAGTAAGCCAAATAGACATGACGTGAAGTAATGAGAAATGATACGAGACTTTTGGTCTCATTAAGGATATGACCCTTAAATATAGCAGAATGACGGACCAAGATTTATATAGCCAACCCCAATTATTGGAGACAGATTATGATATTGATGATACATTGTCAAAATTTTCATTATCAATAAAGCAATTCATATTTGTGTTATTTAATAAATTTTTATGCTCTATCAATAGCATCAGAAACCCTACCAAAAATTTCTCCAATGATCACATATTCACTAAAAAAGACAACATAATCACAACACCCTCGTACCGTTAACTGGTACATGTTTGATTTATATAAATCAAATCTAAATAAAAAAAACAGATTTCATCCTAAATCTTGAAAATGATAGATTGAAGAACAATCCTTCTATTAATTAACACAATCAACATTTTGTTGAATAATGGAATTGGAATTAACTACTTAATTTCAACAAATGTAAACAACACTCCGTGCAAATTACAAAATAATCTTAATTGACAGAACCACAGTTATATAGATCATCTTTAGCATCACACCACAAAACCTGAAAAGAGTCGAGAAAACTCAAATGAATAGGAACTTTTAAGTCATTTTTTTTTATTTCTGATTGTTCCATTCTCCCTATCATTTCGTGAATGAGTATTTCACATAAAAAAACCGAAAAAAGCATGTCAGCATTTAACGTATTATGTTGGCATGGCTAATGTTTTTAAATGCCGTGCCTCATCTAAACACCAAAGAACCTGCCATCCACACCATGAACTAGCAACCAATTTTCCTGGCTTTTTCCCCTAGGAAGGTTCATGGGAGCAATTGATTTTGGCAAACAGATAGGTGACCAGCGATGTAAAAGTAAAACCCAACGATCCAAATCGGGAATTGCGGATCCGATCGTGGATTCTCGATATGGGTCCCATTTGCCCCAACTTGATTCTTCATTCATTTTTGCAAAATTTAACAAAATACTTGTGAGAGATGCACAATTTAACATTTTACTGGTATTTGACAATTAAATCAAACTATTACAGGAAAAATGTGAATAGTTCAACGAATCCAATCAGTGCCGCATTGGGCAAATCCAAAACCCATTTCTGGATATTTCTCGAGGACGTACGGCTTGCTCCCGCATGTGTATAAGGCTTTTAATAACATCCCTCATGGTTGGGCCCAGGACCTCTCTAGACATGGGGCCATTGCAAAATACCTGCCAGATTATTATGACCCCAAATTTTCCAAGTAATCATTCACATCACTATTAGCTTTGCTAAATTTGAAATTCAGATTTAGAGGGAATCACCTTTCCTAAAAAAACAAATGAACTACTCGGTCAAAAGTCAAATTTAAATAGGGAAATTTATAAAAAAGCTCCAAGAATACATTATCTACGCAATTTATTCCAACCTAAATTTTTTTTTCAAAAAAACACTTTCTATGCAAATAGCTCTAACCAAATAAAATATATATATATATATTTAAATTACTCTCCCTTACATTTACCTTACCCACGCTTACTTTATCTATCCCACTGTACTTTTACCTTACCCACGTCTCTCTCCTCTATCCCACCAAAATAGAGCGTCTCTCTTCTATCCCACCAAAATAGGGGTTCCCACCAAATAAAGCGTCTCTCTATCCCACCAAAATAGGGGCTCCCACCAAAATAGAGCGTCTCTCCTCTATCCCACCAAAATAGAGTGTCTCTCCTCTATCCCACCAAAATAGGGGCTCCCACCAAACTAGAGCGTCTCTCTTCTATCCCACCGAATTAGGGGCTCTCACCAAAATCAAAATAGGGGCTCCCACCAAACTAGAGTGTCTCTCTTCTATCCCACCAAAATAGAGCGTCTCTCCTCTATCCCACCAAAATGGAGCGTCTCTCCTCTCTCCCACCAAAATAGGGGCTCCCACCAAACTTGAGCGTCTCTCTTCTATCCCACCAAAATAGGGGCTCTCACCAAAATCCAAATAGGGGCTCCCACCAAACTAGAGCGTCTCTCTTCTATCCCACCAAAATAGGGGCTCCCACCAAAATAGAGTGTCTCTCCTCTATCCCACCAAAATAAGGGCTCAGCACGGTCTAACTACGGTTCAACAGTAGGGACCCTCAATTCCACCAAAATAGGGGCTTCGGCACTGTCAGACTGTAATAGGGGCTCTGGTAACAGTAGGGATCCAAAATAGGGGCTTCGGCACTGTCGAACCGTAATAGGGGCACCGGCACTGTCTAACTACGGTCCGACATTAGGGCTCCAGCACTGTGTAAAGTGCGGTCCGGCAGGAAGGGGCTCCACAACGTGTAAAGTACGGTCCGGTAGGAAGGGGCTCCACAACGTGTAAAGTGCGGTCCGGCAGGAAAGCTCTGACGCTCTCCGACCGTAAGGCTCGGAGTACTGTGTAAAATACGGTTCGGCAGAAACGCTCCAGCACTTGTGCGCTCCGACAATGTTATGTACGCTCCACTCTCCAGCAATGTACGCTCCACGCTCTAGCAATGTGCTATTGAGGTCCATACTTCACATCAAATCTGACCAAAATGATTTTTTGTGCATGAGAAGGATATTTTCATCTAAAAAATGAACTTTTTCCCTTGAAGGTAGGTATTTGCATATAAAATTTGTTTTAGCAATAAAAGTGAAACAAAATTAGGTCGAGGGTAAATCGCATAGAAAGCGTGGTCTAAAGTTTTTTTTGTAATTTTTTCTTTTAAATATATGAGGGCCTTTTATAATACAAACTCGAGAGTAGAAAATTCCAAAGTTAAAAAACTCCATAGTGAGGGCTTTTTATAATACAAAACTCGAGCGTAGAAAATTCCAAAGTTCAAAAACGCCATCGTAGAAAATTTCAAGTTCAATTAATGTGGTATATTGTAAAATAATTCCAAGTTCACTATTAATGTGGTATATTATAAAGGAAAAAGTTTATATAAAGATGCAACCTTATAATATAGAACTTCATATGCACCTAAAAATTCCATCAGAAAAATAGTTTTAACATTGAAAACCCTTTGATTGATCATCATTTTACAACATATTATCTACACCGTCCATTTTCAAGATTTTTATATGTTTATAGATTTACTTGATTTTAACTATTTTTTAAATTTAAAATTTTATAATTAGATAAAAAAATAGATTTTGAGATAATCCTAAAAACATTTTAGGAAATATTATATACTATGATAAAATTTAAAGGAGCACCTTACCTCTACACCTATGGATGCATCGTGTATGCAAACCGCACCCTATTATAAAATAATTCATATGCATATATATCTCCAATTATCCATTAAAGCCAATATTCCAAACCCAGCTTTATGGATGCACAAAAAAAAATGATCTTAGAAACGAGAGTTATGACATGCTTTAAAATTTGTCAGGTCAAGCAAATCCTTCCCAAACATGGTATTTTGGGCGCAGGACCAACGGTACAATGTCGTCCCAAAAGTCAGTCATCTTTAGGAAGTGGCCAGCACCTGACCAAGTTCAATTTTCAAACCTACGCGCGACCTCCAATTTCTAAAGAAGCATTAAATGCAAATGCTTAAAAATGAAAATTATTTCATGCGACCTGGAACGCAGGAGTTTCTTGTTATAATTATTATTTTTAATTTTTAAAATTTATTTATTTTTTTATATTCATGAACACCACATTAGAAATTATATTTCTTTAAAAATTAAGTCCAAATATCCATCTAAAAAATAGATTTATTAATAAGCCCGCATTTCTACATATACGAGCTTGGCCGCGTAGAAACCGGGTCCACTTTAAAAAGCAACTCCACATAATTTAACGAGTCAAGTAAATTTGTCAACAGTGTAAAAATAGAAGGCAAGCTATCAAGGGAGAAGAGAACGTCAAATTTATACTAAACAGTGATTTAAAACTCGCTACCCAAATCAAGAGATATCCATTGATGATACATATACTAAACAGTGATTTAAAACTCGCCAATCTAACTTAGAACCGCCCTAGTCCGATGAAGAGGCAAATGATTCTGATCGGTAAAACCCAATAATTTCCCAATTCACCCAAATTTTTTATAATATTAATAATTCCAATAAAAATAGCCATGTCCAACTCAGAATCACAAGGGTGGGACAGACATGACCATGGGCTCAAGGCACTAGTGTTAGTTAAGAGACCTAGCCTAATTTTTAACACAGTTGGAGGTCAAGGTGACAGCACCACCAATGACTCCGCTACCGGTCTAGGTTTCCATTCCAACCGATGCTAACCCCTTTTCAAAACTACTGACAGTTCAAAAAATTGCTAACCCATAACTAACAATTAACGTTCAAAAAATTAAAAGGAAATGACGATGGTTCAAAAGCTGCTTATGCAAGTGGAACAACTTAAAGATTCGCACGATTTATTTCTGTTACGTTGGTATCCGTCGGCCAAAAAGAAGACACAAACTTAAAGGCATAAGCACCTAATGATGTCTTAAGTAGAGGTCCTCATAGGGATACAAGTAATATATAAAACATATAACACAAACAAAATCTCGAAGCACCTGGATAAAACATAAGAGACAAGGTTGAGCCCATTTTTGGCCACTCTTTTGACAGACAACAGGCATAAAAAGATGGAAACTTAACCTACTCAGGCCATCCTATTTCATTATTACAACTCTAAAAGCTTCAAATATGATTACAAACACAGGAGGTGAGAAGTCACCATGAGAGTCCAGAAACCAGTGGAAGTGAAAAACTCACCATATGGATGATTCGTTCATTAAGAAGCGAACAATGATCCGTTTTATGAGAATTGCAGCATGTGCCTCCCCGAAGACCTGGTCCCTATATCCAGCAGCAAAGTTTGAAACCTCGGTAGCCTTAAGAGCTCTGAACACAGTCAAGGCCTCATGACTAGCAGTTGAAACCAATGGATGCTAGATCTGATATCTTGGCTGATCCTTTAAGCAATTCGCTTGTCTCCAATAACTTTACAAAAGAGATATATTTTTTTGAGGTGGGGGCAGGGGGGTAAGGATCTCACAAAGAGTAATCATGCTATTTGGGCAAGGTATGGGTTGAAGTGAGGAAATTGTTTCCTTATATGTTCTGGGATCAATTTCTGTACAATCTCTGGAGGAGCCGCTTTCAGTTCTGCACATGAAAATAAAATTAAAATGAGAGAATATTTGTTTCTTTTCTTTTTTGACAAATTTTGTTTCTTTTCTTAAAAACTAGAAAGTATAACTCTATTATGTCAGTGAAGACAATTATCATTAAAGACAGCAAGATTATCAGATATCACTACCTTCTGGTTTAAAGTTGAAAAGGGGAGGTAAAGCATGACCATTTGGCAAGGTCGTATGGGGGTCACGAAGTTCATCAAAAAAGGGGTGGACACAAGTCTCGAGCTGCATCATACAAAATTACATACTATATTAATCCTCTCATGCATGGTAGCACTCTCTTAACAAAGATACTAAGTTAATTTTGGATATTCTAGCAATATGAAATGTTATTGGTTTAGAGTTTAGACCAAGGAGGGAGACAAAAACAGAAATGACCATAAATGCTCACATCTCCATAGCCTATAAACCATACTGTAACCATTAGAAAACAAAAATACAGATGAAAATACATTACCTAATTATTTAATAAGGGATCGTATACTATGAGACCATTTACCTTTGTAACAAGGAAGTCACAAATACGTCTAGCCATCCAATTTCAAATTGGGTAGCTCAAGTGTGTCACCAAATCCGAGAAATATGTTTTTTAATTTTGAACCTAGCTAACAACACACTCACAACCACCCGATTTTAAATCCAACGAATAAGAGTGATTGTGACCTCCCTATACCAAAAGTAAATGATCTCTTTGTATACTTTCCCATTTAGATTATTAATTTAAACAAATTAGCACCTCAACTAAACCAAAGGTTACGCTACTTGTCCAAATTTTAGCCTTAGTTTCCAATTGATTACAACTAAAATTCATCGTAAGATCTGGAATTTTCATTGAGATCAACTGCCAAATATGGTCAAAACCAAAATTCTCAAGTCACATTTGTAAAGCAAGGGGGTATGAACAATCCTTACAGCTGATGGTCGCAAGTTAGGAGAATACTGAAGAAGTCTTGATACTAAATCTATTGCCTCGGCAGGCACCCGCTTGTGAAAGATCTGAAGAAGTTAAGCAAAGAAAATAATTTAGCCATGGGAAATCTTTAACATAATCTAAATTGCAAAGAAAATCATTTAGCCATGGGAAGTTCTTTAACATAATCTAAATTACTATGGCTTACCATAGCCATTATAGGCATCACAGTCCAAATAAAATCATGACAAAGAGGGAAAGTGAGATCCACCATAGGCAAATGGTACAGTGAGGACCAATGGACTATGGCATTGGCAATATGCATATTATATAATTCTTTCTTTTGACAGTTTGCCATTTTACAATGCCAAAAGCAACCATATGAAAAAGAAGCAACCATGACCCAACATAAGCAAGAGGAGAACAGAAGTGCAGACCTTATGCCATGGCCGCGCCTTCATTTGTGGGAACTTGAATTCTGTATAGTTCGGATTCATGCACTTAACTTCCTCTCTAGTGGGAGTCCCGAGGATCTGAACCCACCATAAACAAGTGAAGTAAAGTTAATTATGAAATTTTAATAATAAATGTTTTAAAAGTTCCAAAAAAAAAAATCCCACCAAGCTCCACAAAAGAAGAGAAAGAAAAAGTTTACCTTGACAATTTCACTAAGCTGTTCAACAGCACTTTCACCGGGGAATAGAGGCTGCAGAGGAACAAAGGGCATGGTTGAAATCAGAATGACAGAAATTGGCATGAAAAATTCAGCTTCTAAAATATATGATACAAAACAGTTCAGAAGTAACAAATGAAGAAAGCTAAAGTGCCTCACACTTTAGCTTGCACAAGAGAGAGAGAGAGAGAGAGAGAGAGAGAGAGAGAGAGAGAGAGAGAGAGAGAGAGAGAGAGAGAGAGAGAGAGAGAGAGAGAGAGAGAGAGAGAGAGAGAGAGAGAGAGAGAGAGACGAGAGACGACGACGAGACGAGACGACGACGTACGTACGTACGTACGTACGTACGTACG